GATACAGGTGCGACGAAAACTATCAGCAGACCGGACATTCTTAAAACATCGAAGAAGGTTAAAACAACACAATGGACTACGTACAGCTACAGGAAGCTCCGCTCTCATCCATGGAGAGGTAGATCTTAATTTTGTTATCGGAAGCACCTGTATTAATCATCGAGTGTTAGTAGCAGACATAGAAGATGAACTTATTCTCGCAATGGACATCATGACCACTAGAGGTTTTGAGCTAAACCTCAAACAAGGAATTTTGAAAATAAATGAAGAAGAAGTGGTTCTGCATCGAAAATGTGAGGAGACGTGGTGGTAGCTTCGCGTGGTGGTAGCAGAAGATGTTTCGATCCCTGAGCGCTGTGAGATATTTTTGGATGGTTACCTGGAAGGTAAAATGAATAATGGAAGTATTATTCTGTTGGAGCCAAGGAACCATGACAGCGAAATAGGACGAGGGGTCGCTGTTGGAAAAGCCCTGCTACGAGCGAAGAAGACTGTACCGGTGAGAGTAATGAACACAAATTATTATTCTGTATCCTTGAAGAAGGGAACCCTGTTAGGGTACTGTTGTTCGGTCTCCCGAGTCATTCGAAGCGTGGAAGCCACCAAAGTTTCGACTTCAAAAATTCCGGACAAAATGGTGAAGGAGGCAGTAAACGTTAAGGGATTATCTCCCGAAAATAGTAGAAAATTGAGAAACCTGATAATTAAGTATCAAGATGTGTATGATAAAGGAGAAGCGGGGCAGAGAGGTCGTACCAATTTAGTACACCATAAAATTGATACCGGAGATGCACGACCAATCAAACAAAATCCGAGAAGACTTCCACTCGCCAAACGTGAAGAAACTGACAAGATCCTTCGAGAAATGAAAGAAGAGGGTGTTATCGAACTATCTAACAGGCCGTGGACATCGCCGGTAGTACTAGTAAAGAAGAAAGATGGTACCACCTGGTTCTGTGTTGATTATCGGCAGCTCAATAATGTTATCAAGAAGGTTAGCTATCCCCTGCCGAGGATAGACGATACTCTAGACACACTGGCGGGATCGACAATATTCTCTACCTTAGATCTGAAGAGTGGATATTGGCAAGTCGACATGGCGCAGAAAGATAGAGAGAAGACAGCGTTTTCGGTGGGCTCCGGACTGTGGCAATTTACCGTCATGCCTTTTGGATTGTGCAACGCGCCAGCTACCTTTGAAAGACTAATGGAGTCTGTGTTAAAGGGACTATCCAGGACCACCTGTTTAGTGTACCTAGATGACATTATAGTGGTGGGGAAATCCTTCGACGATCATCTGAAGAATTTGGAAGAAGTTTTCAAGCGACTTGCGAGCTCTGGTTTGAAACTTAGCCCCAAGAAATGTCATCTGTGTCAAGAAAAGGTACACTACTTGGGCCATGCGGTCTCCTCCCAGGGAGTTGCGGTAGATCCACAGAAGACCAAGACAGTGGAAGAGTGGCCGCTACCCAAAGCCAAACATGAACTCAGAAGCTTTTTGGGGCTATGCACATACTATCGCCGTTATGTACAGGGTTTCGCCAACATCGATAAACCATTAACCAGACTTACCGAAGGCGAGAGGCGTTTCTGTTGGGACTCAGATTCTGACGAGGCATTCCGAACACTGAAGAAGACCCTGTCTAGTGCGCCCATACTTAGCTACCCTCTTGGCAACGGAAACTGTATATTGGATACCGACGCTAGCAATGTTGGGTTAGGCGCTGTTCTGTCTCAGATCCAGGATGGTCAAGAAAAAGTAATTGGTTATTTTAGTAGGACCTTGTCCAAACCGAAAAGGAACTACTGTGTAACCAGACGAGAATTACTAGCAGTAGTTAAAGCAGTGGAACACTTCTACAAGTATCTCTATGGAAGAAAGTTCTTGTTAAGAACAGACCATGCTGCTTTGAAATGGCTGTTGCAGTTTAAGAATCCTGAAGGGCAGGTAGCTAGATGGATTGAACGATTACAAGAATTTGATTTCGACACAAAACATCGAGCTGGGGCGATCCACCAAAATGCCGATGCACTTTCCAGAAGACCTTGCGATAAGGACTGTAAGCATTGTTCCCGAGCAGAAGAGAAAGAAGCGAAACTCCTAAGAACAACTGTGGTTAACGATACTTGGCAACCCGAAGATCTTGCTAACGACCAAATCAGTGTACCAGAATTAGGCTTAGTGATTAACTGGAAAAACGCGGACCAAAGACCAACGTGGGAGGAAGTTTGCAGATATTCGCCGAACGTGAAGTCGTACTGGGCCCAGTGGAATTCCTTGGTAATAGATGATGGGTTACTCCGCCGTGTGATTGAGAGGCCAGAGGGACAAGAAGAGAGAAGGCAGATCGTCATTCCAAAGAAGAGGGTCCCGGATGGTCTGTGAAGTCCTTAACATCCGCAAGACCAGGACGACTGCTCTACACCCACAATCCGATGGGATGGTTGAACGCATGAACAGAACTATCAACCGTTATCTGGCCAAAGTATTCTCTGACCATCAAAGAGACTGGGACAAATTTCTTCACCTGTTCCTGTTGGCCTACCGTTCATCTGTCCAAGAATCTACAGGGCAAACTCCAGCCAGCATCGTTATGGGACGGGAAGTGCGTCTACCTTGTGATCTGAAGTTTGGTTGCCGACCGGGAGAAGATGTCGCTGGAGAAGATATGTCCACAGACTACGTCAAAAGATCGACGACATCCATCAGCGAGTCCGCCTAAATATTCAAAGCGCTAGTGACCGAATGAAGGTGCACTACGACATTCAAGCTGAGCATGGGGGATACCAACCAGGGAATTTGGTTTGGTTGTACAACCCGCAGAGACGTCGTGGATTATCTCCGAAGCTACAATCCTCGTGGGAAGGCCCATACGAAGTCATGGATAGGATTAATGACGTCGTATACCGTATCAGAAAATTGCCAAAAGGAAAACCGAGGATAGTTCATTTCAACCGTATGAGCCCTTACCAAGGCGAAATAGAAGATCGTGCTGGGACCGTGAGAACCTGCAGCTTTGATCCCTCTGATTCGGAGATGTCCTTTGATGATTTCATGGCCCGATACAACAGCAGTGAGAAGGCTCGCTATGGTGTAACCAAAGAAGAACCACGAGACCTCTTTTCCGCGCCTCCTGATTATTTGCTCGCTCACTGTGTGGTCCGAGATTTGCGGATGTCCAGAGGAATCGCTGCGACGTACAATGAGAAGTTTGGGCGTGTCGGAGAACTACGCCGACAAGATCCAGAGGTTGGAAGCGTCTTGAGGCTAACCGACAATGCACATGGTCAAGCAAGACATATCTTCTACCTGGTCACCAAGGAATGGTCCCCGAGTAAGCCGACTTATCTCAATCTATGGAAGACCCTGATTGAACTGAGAGAAGCCCTGCTGAACAATAACATTACACGATTAGCCATTCCGAAGCTGGCGTGTGGACTGGATGGTTTGAGTTGGCGTACAATCCGGAACATGATTGAAGTCTTGTTTAGATTTACGGGAATCGAGATCCTCGTTTGCTGCTATAACCCAAAGCTGAGATCGGGCGAGAAAACTGTAGACTTTTTTTCTACCAGACTTCTCAATGCACCAGGGGCCAGCTTTGCAAATACCTTCATTCACCGTGTACATCTCGGCATGTACGAGCATGTACCTAAGAAGGGGGCAGTGTTGCGGACCCGTACCGTGTGAACTCGGCCTTAGGCTTGGCCACTCGGCTATGACTCCCTACATATACCTACTATATACACCCACCGACGTTCGAAGAACGCCGCTAAGAATTTTCGAGATATGTCTGGACTGTCTGTTTCTCTCATATATAAGCCGATGCCCGAAACCTGAGGGAGATAGAGATAAATAACCGATCGACGCGTGCAGTTACAATCGCCGCGCTAATTCAAAATAAATTTCTGTTAGATAAATAATTAGATAAATTGTAAATAAGTTATAAATAGTTCTTTAAGTCTTTTAATCGTTATTGTTTTTGTTAATTAGTGTTAAATAAATTGTGACTTTCTATCCACACGGAACCGACGAAAAACGTAACAATATGTAGATATAAGGTATGATTTATTTTATTCAAAATAATCAACATTTAAATTTTTTGCATTTTTTTTGTAACTACTATTCCTAAATACCTTCACTTCTTCTATTTTTCACTCGAGTGATCCCATCACTAATACAAATACACAGGTTGAAATTGCGAGTATACGAAAAATGTATTATATAATTATTCTAAAAGTGGGAAGTATAATTTGGGACAATTCTAAAAATAAAAAAGTAAATATTTTGATATCTTCAGAAGGTCTAGCTCATAGACTTAGAATAAAATATAGACTGAGCATCTCATTCATAAATAGCTGGAAGATGCGGACAGACAACGTCTTGTTATTGTTGTGTTATTGTTTTTGGCTCTAACGAGTGCGACACGAGCGATAGATAGGCTGTCTCCGTCGTAACGGTCGTTTCCTGACGGCTCTGCCGCCCAACGCAACACTGTCTTTTGTTTCTTCAGTGTACCTGCACTCTCCGTATCATAGGCGGGTATTTTTTTAAATTTTAATGAAGCTATAATTCAATTAAAAATATATCGTATTTAAACTTTTTTATATTATTAAGATTTAGGATAAAGAAAATAGTTTAATATAAAGCAAAGTTTAGGACTTAGAAAAAAATACGTCTTAGAGTCTAAAAACGATAAAAATAATAAAGTACGTGTTATAGAAGAAATTTTAATAATCGAAATTATTTAATTTTTGAAATTGATGATAAATTATTAATTTAATAAAATATTAATTTTAGTCAAACATTTACAACTCTAATATTAATCAAAACAGGATCTATTCTATAGATATAATAGAACAGAAAGAGAAAAAACTTTATAATTGTTTAATTTTTTTTTCCGGTAAAAGTGATGTCTTATTATGTAAATTAGAAAAAACAGGAATCTGTTCCATTAAAGCAAGCTTTTAGGAAGTGAATAAAATGAAAACTACATTTATTTAACTCGTTACTGTCTTTATTATAGAGTAAGTATAATAATGGTAATGGTGACTATACTTTATTCAATGGAAATATGCACCAAATTCAAACAAATATAAAAGGCATGAGTATAAACAGTATTACTACAGTAATATTGAACATTGGTTCAAAAATATTACATTAATATAATACAATATTACTGTAGGTATTACTGTCAACGTGCAAGCTTGTTTGAAGCTTGATGTATTTGTATGCGCTTGGTACATCTTGGCGTTGGAAAATGTATAGAAAATTATTAAGAAAAACTAGTACGTAATGGGGGATATCTTGATATACAGAGTGGTCGGAATTGTATTCAGGAAACTTTGGCAGCATAATCTGCAAATAAAATCAGTAAAAAAAATAGTATAAATTTATGTCCTAAAATGCTTCGTTTCAGAGATACAGAGTGTAGAAATTTCATTTTTATTTCGCTTTTTTCCAAATAATTTATGAAGAATGTATTGATTAATTCGTTTCCAAATATCTTGAGAACTATACTTGTGGCGAGTGTCAACAAGAGACCTTATTAAGTAAAAAACGTTGGAAATGTAAATTTTTCTCAGTAGTTTTATATAGATACAGACAAAAAGTATTACTCTTCAAATAACTTAAAAAATATGTAGGTGGCGCCCCCTATTAGTAAAAGTCAAATTGACATCTAAATCTAATTTTTCATGTCAAAAAACTCCCAAACGCCAATTTTCGTCCAAATATTGACGTCACTTCAGAAATTATTTGGAAAAAAATCGAAATAAAAATGAAACTTCTACACCCTGTATCTCCGAAACGAAGCATTTTAAAAACTTACAAGTTCATTTTTTTAGAAAGCCAATGCAACATTTCTGAGTTTCAAATAAAGATAAAAAACAGTAAAACATATAATAATAATATGTAAATTATTTTCTTGGATACATACATATATGGCAAATAATAACAGATTGTTTTATTAAAGATTTACGTTTTGGTTAATTCTAAAACTATCTTCAGATTATATGTGATATTACTTAAGTGATATTACATTATAAAAGAAAAAATGAAAATTATACCTTATAATCGAAAAAAAACGGCGTCAGCGATGGCTATGAAATGAAGATCGCTGTCATTTTATATGTAAAATTATATGGAGTATGTATCGATGGTTTTTTCCAAGCCAACTGGACGCCGTTTTTTTCGATCATACGGTATTACAAATTAATAATAGATTAACAGTCGAGAAAAAAAAAGAAAAAACTCTAGGTAAGTACTGGATAAATTTTAAAATGGCATATTTATTTTATCTTTGTTTAATATAAAAAAAACGAAATATCTACCTGGTTTACATAACCCTGTATAATTTGTGAAATAATAATGGACAAAAATGCAAGCGGTAAGAAAAATATTTACAAAAAATATGTACTTGTTTACATTTCTGGACCATTGTTCGTCATTTTTGTTATCATAATGGTGACCCTATCATAAAAACGTAGTTATTTCTATACCTGATGTGAAACTATAGGGAAAAAGTAATGTTTGTAAAATATTTTAGTCTTGAAAAAAAATAAGGAATGTTTGGTATTTTAAAATGTTTGGTAGCTTGTAATTTTTTCGACTTTCTCGATTGTTTATAGTTTATAATAAGCCTTAAAAATTGTTGTTTCATAATGGAATATCATTCTGGAATTCCTGTATGTTATTTTAGATTCTAAGGATGGTTTTAGAATAAAAAGAAACACATTTTTCATAAAAAAAAGCATTAAATTAACCAATGCCCAAGAAAATAATGTGTCTACTTCTTATGTACTTAATAATGTATCTACTCGTTATATTAATAACGAGGTTAGTAAGAACCTTTACGTAAATGATAAATATAAAAAATACAGATTTTCCAGGGTTTATAATTTACTAAATTATTATCTAAATAAGCGCCTTTCTACAACGCCACTGACGCCAAAATAGTAAATTTGACTTACCTGTGGAATGTTGTTCCAGGACTTAAATAGTCCAATTTCTTACAAATTTGGCACTGACGAACCATGTTTTATAGTTTTTAAATAAAAGGTAATCAAAATAAAACACTAAACCGACACACACACACTAAGAAAATCGAATCCAAAAAATACAAAATCAAAACATCCAATAAAAACAATAAAATAGCCATGGCGAAACTGTGACAACAAGGTTTTACGACACGTGCTTTACTCTACTATGGCTCTACTACGAGAGAGAATAAAGAATGAACAGGCGACCCGGCGATTGATGGGTGTTGCCAAATTGTAAAGAATTTGTCATTTTTAAATAGTCTCCGACTTATAATTTAGTAGTATAGGGACTATTTAATACATCTTTCTACTATTAAACACTACTTTATTAAAATACAGTTTTAAGACGTGACAACATAGGCTGGAGGCGAAAGACTCAGACGGCCGAGGTCAGCTGCACCCAGGAGTAAACATGTTTACAAAAATTAATATTGGACCGCGCTTAAATGTAAATAGTGTAGTCTATATTTTATTCTAAGTCTATGGTCTAGCTTTAACTCTCTAAAAAGACATTCTAGCCACTCCTCTCTACAGAGGATATGGATTACTCATTAGTACGTAAATATGGTAAACCAAAATAGAATATTTTCTCCACAATTGATTCTACTATACTTAGTGAAATATTCTATTACTATTAATGACCTTATAAATCGTAAAGATGAGCTCAAATTACATATAGCAAAGCATAAACCTTCCATTGTTACTATTCAAGAATCAAATGTAAATGCTCAAAGTCCCCCTCCTTCAAACATTTTAATATAATTAGGGAAGATACCCAAGTAGCATTTTCACGACTTGCGACCACATGTTTACTAAACACAACGTTGGATTAGTTACAAAAAATAGTTAGCTCCGTACCTTGGGTATTAAAATAAATGTAAACGTTGTTGTAACGTTGTGCCTACGTTGAACTAGTACTACAACAAAGTAAAAGCTTCTGCGACGTCGAATAAACGTTGTCTTGTAACCTTTTTTGCTTAAGTGATCTTTAGGTGATTCGGACAACGTAGTTACAATGTTGGACAATAAAGAGTTTTCCGACTTTCACGACCGTCACTTTCACGACCGTCACTTTTCCGACCGTCACTTTCAGGACCTATTTCAACGTTATGCAAACGTCGTCTGTTTTACTAATTCCAACGTTGTGTAGATTTCCTTATTCTTACGTTGGTAGGACGTCGAGCCACTACCTTTTTGCAACTGTATTGAACCATAACCTTAAATCTTGAATTTTCACTTCACTGTTCTGTTCAGTCAGACAGTTCAGTGCTGTTTTTGTTTTTATAAAAAAAAACTTAATTAAAATGGGACGTAAGAAAGGCACATATAAAACTAAATTTAGATATACATCGACATATTACCGATACTTTATCCACTCCCTCGTTTATTTAGAATATAGAGGGCGGCACAAGCTAGACTCTAGGATGACTAAATTAGGCAATCATGCGACTAGTATACTACCTGCCCAGGCTGAACTGCGACTTTATTAGTCCAGTATGCGACTACTCGAACTACCCCAAGTAGCATTTGGATGTTATCTAACGTCGGGTATACGTCGCGTTCAATAAACCCGACGTCGGGTACCAACGTCGGTTCGACCGCCTGACGACCCTTATTTGCACCTAAATGGGGAATACAGATTCGGGTCGCCTCGACGTCGGTATCTGACCTAATAGGGAATGTAATTCTACCAATTACCAACGTCATATTACGTTGGATTTTAGTTACTTAAAATTCGTCGCTAAGCACTTACGTTACGTTTGGTTTCATATTCGCTACCAAGAATACATAAAAACCTAACCAAACTACATAATTACAAATGGATTCATAATCACTCCTCGAATATAACTATAAGTGCCTATTTAATTTCATATTATAATAATTCTGAATCATTAATCCAGACATCAGTTTTGTCAACGGAAGTCACTTTCTTGATATATCTGATTAAAATACTCCGAAAACAACGAGCGCCTTCAAAATTAGGTAGATTTATGAAATAAAATATCTATAAAAAGTAACTCTGCAAAATATTTTTTAATTTTCTAGCTGGTTTAATCATAAAACTGTACTGTGGTTCCCCCAAACTCAACCTTATCAATATTATTCTACTAGAAATCGAAATGTGAATATAAATTAAAAAAAAAAAACGATTTTAAAATGGCTGACAATCGGATACGTGTTAAGAATGGCGGATTTCTGTGTCCGACTTGATATGAACTACCAATATACCAATTCCAACCGGGTCTCCAACATTAGTCGTCTCACACATGTCTCACACGACCGAAGTCATCAAACCGGACGACCGGCAATCGTATTATGACGTATATAATTCCAACGTACGCCACGTAACCTCAGTTTGCGTTTTGCGTATCAGTGATTTGTGGATTTGTGCAACTATATTTTAGTTTTTGTTTTCTCGTTAAAAAAATGGGCAGCCACTTTTTTAAGCCTAACCTCACATGTCGGAGGAGGATGGGGTCTGCTGGTATCCTAAGCTAAAAAATGAAATTAAGATGCACCAGTGTAATGCAGCATCTCTTCCGGATAAAAAGCATTTACGGGTGGAGGCAAGACATCACCACTACTATTATTATTTTGCAAAAGCCTCGACCTCTTTCTGTAAAATGTTGATGAATGTCTAAATGCCTTTAGTGTTTTTTAGGCATAATAAAAAATTTAAGTTTGTTTACAAAAACTTTTGTAAACAACGTCCAACGACGTCGCTTTTAATAGGAAAGCGACGTCACAGGTCGTATCACGAGCACCCGACTTAAATTTGCACAAAGTCTGACGTCGCTTCAGGTCAGATTTAGTTCGAAGTCAGATAGATGCTACCTGGGACTCCATCTTAATCTCCAAAACAACAAAGTGAAAGCCGCCATGTTGTTGAATAAGAAAATGTTTCGTACCTAAAATAGCAATTCCTGCTTTTTGAATACATTAACTTGAAATATTTGACCCTAAACAACACGCGGAAACAATTTTTTTTTGACTGCGAATAAATTATTCTCATTTTACTAAAAAAAAAATCCAGAAATTTTTTAAAACTTCTTTAATTTTAAGGCCCATTAGTATTTTTCAAAGTAGAAACAATACATCTATCAATAAAGTTGTTTGCGTTTAACTTTTTTGCCTTGGGTAACGAGTTACAGAGTTGGTTAAAGTGTTTCAATAATTATGATCTTCAAACATCCTCCACACTTAAATACTTTTGTTTTGTTTTCCTTTACTGCCATCTGGCATATGTCTCTAACTAAATCATAAAAATAATATTTTTACTATAATTATCCTAATTTAGGATAAAACGCGACTTAGACTTCATATTATTATAGTTTTGTATTTCTGTGAATTAGGATTTTAAACAATAACGTTGCAGTTTGTACTAAATTAGGCTGCTAGTCAACGTAGGTATCCAACGTCGTTTCGACCCAAAAATTATTCTCCAAACTAGTGCAGACTAAGGTTGGCACGAGGTTGTGCCGACGTTGCGCCCCGACGTTTGGTCGCGTGACACAACGTTGTCCCGACGTCCAAATGCTGCTTGGGTAGAGAGATGTTGCTAGATCTTCTGGCGGCGTTGCACTTTCCATTGCACTACTTAACAGCAATACTCACTATGAAATATCTCTCAATACAGAACTTGAAGCGGTTGCCATTTTCCTTCTGCATAAATCCCCAATTACTGTTTGCTGTTAATACATATCACCTTCTTCTAGTTTCTCCATAGATCAATTTGTATAAACTTCCATAACCAGTACTACTTGGTGATTTCAACGGTAACAACATCATATGGGGATCTTCTCGCATTGACCTCAGATGCTCTATAATACAAACATTTTTAGGATCTAATAGAACCTCTCTTGTTAATAACGTGATCTCTTTTTCTTCTATAGATCTTACCATCTATTCCTCCCTTAACTCCGTTATTCCAGTCTACTGTAGTGAACCGATCTAGAAAGAAGTGATTACTTATCCCATATCCTTTCTAGCCTGGTTTCATTAACATCATAACGGGAAAATTTACAACCTTTCTAGAGCTGACTGGGAACTAATCAGTCCTCAATAAAGAATCCCATAATAAACCCTAAAGATCAAGAGGGCAATATAACTCGATTGATTGATTAATGTAATTGATGAGGCTGCTGATGTGGCGATTCCGGTTCTGTGGTGAAATGAAAAATGCCGAATAGCTGTCAGTAAGAATAATTCTTTTTGGCTCGTTTTAAATATCATTCTACTGTTGAGAATCTCATTAAATACAAACGTAATAGAGCTATACGGCTAAATTAGGCCTGTTCCATAAACCATAATACCGCTTTAACACCGGTGTTGAGCTCGACACCGATGTTGATCTGGACACCGATGTTTCTCTACAATACCGGTTTTGACTACGACACCGATTTTGATTTCCACAGCGGTGTTGATCTCAACATTGGTTTTGACTTTGACACCTGTTTTGATATCGTATCGGTGTTTACTTTTACTGAGGCGGCGGTGGAGAATGGCCGAATATATTGGAATTAGCATTTCCCACCATAACACGCATTCAAGCTAACAAACCTGACATAATCCTGTTAGATAAATGGTGCAATTCCATACACGTTATAGAATTTTCCGCCCCAGCAGAAACTAACATCGAGATTAAAAATAGAGAGAAGAAAATCTGGCCACCAACATGCAGAAAACTGTTATCCTGGGATCCAAAGACTTTTGAGGCAGATGAGTTTGGTGGACTGACCGAGCGGACGCAAGGAGTGAAAGTCTACGTTTAGCCATTCGCACGACGTCTTGTGGAATCAGGCTACTATATATATATATATATATATATATATATATATATATATATATATATATATATATATATATATATATATATATATATATATATATATATATATATATATATATATATATATATATATATATATATATATATATATATATATATATATATATATATATATATATATATATATATATATATATATATATATATATATATATATATATATATATATATATATATATCAAAT